CTTTCAGAAGCTTCAACCACTTCAGGTCATTTCAGGAATTTCAGGTGGGGACCTGAAACCGTTGAAGTGGTTGAAGCTTCTGAAAGGGGTTTCAGGTACCCCCATCCAAATGGTTGGATGAGGGTACCTGAAACCCCTTTCAGAAGTTTCAGCCACTTCAGGTCATTTCAGGAATTTCAGGTGGGGACCTGAAATCGCTGAAGTGGCTGAAGCTTCTGAAAGGGGTTTCAGGTACCCCCATCCCACCATTTGCAATGGATCTGTATGTAATCTGAAAGTGGTGTATCAACCTGAAGTGGTTGAAATGCCTGAAGGCGGTTTCAGACAACCCCATATATAGATCCACACACAATCTGAAAGTGGTGTAGTAACCTAAAGTGGTTGAACTGCATGGAAAGGAAACCTGAAAATATATGCACCTGTTAACCATCTCTCACTACTTTCCTCTAGATTTCCCTTTTTGAGAACACACTCATGCTCCTCCCCCTTCTGGTGTGGAGGCCCGAGGGGCAGCATTGATTGCTTCCATCAGGAAGGATGTACCACCCCTCACACCTGCCTAAGTTAGCCTGTGCTACTTTTCTCCTATCTTTTACTAATTGGGAATCCCGTTCGCTCTAGTGTTCGGGGCTTGATTTTTGTGTTCCTTCCGGTTCGTGCCTCTCAGCTCCTTGACTGCCTGTTTCTCTTGGCTTGATTTTTGTGTTCCCTCCGGTTCGTGCCTCTCAGCTCCTTGGCTGCCTGTTTTTCTTTTTGTGTTAGTCCTGCTGATAGGGCTGCTTGTGTTAAATTCTGTTTGTGCTGAAATCTGTGAGGTTTACACTTGCTGCGGTCCTTGCTATAACCCTGGCCCTGGCTCATCTACTTATTCTTGTAAGCCGTGTCTGTATCTGTTGACGTAGGGATTTTGGATTCCTGAGGGGGTTATGGTGGTGCTTTGCAGCTTTAGTGAATCTTTCTTTTGAGGTGCTAGGTTTCCTTATGAGGTTCTGCGTTTGGTACTAAGGTTGGTTCGCTGGGGGTCTTATGGTTGGGGTCTTTGAGGGGCTAGGGTCTAGTCTGTTAACGTGAAATCAGGTAGTTGGGTGCTCCTGTTCTGGGTTGATATGCTGTCAATGTTTTAGGGCTATCCGCTGTTGTTTGGTTTGTTTAAACGGAGCCAATTGACATTCCTGTGACATGGGATCTACTTTGAGGCGGGTCTGTGGACTGCGGTATGGTTAGTCTATTGTGTCTCCATTGTCCGAGCTGTAATCTGTTCTGGGTGATTGTTGCTATTCTCCCTTCCCCTAGCTGCTTTTTGTTAAAGACTTCAATAATTTTGTCTCTATCGACTAGATTCTTCTCTATTTTCCTACACACTCTCTTCCAGCGCCCTCTGTATTCGACCTCTAATATATTTAGGACTCCTTCCCATGCTTCCTGCACCTGTATTGACGTGCGGTCTAAAGTCTCTTGACATCTTCTTTTCCATATCATCCATAACGTTGCCAGACGTAGAATGTGAAAGAAAATGGTCTCGTGTCCCTGCCAATTGGGTGGGATGTGCAGGCCCAGTAGGAGAGTAAGAGGGTATGTAGGGAGGGTTTTGTTTGTGATTGTATGCCAGAGATCGTTTGTGCTGGACCAAAGTCGTTGTGCTTTTGGGCAGTGTATTAGGCAATGGCCCACGTCTTCTACGCGACCTTCCGAGCAGATTGTACATAGCTCTTGTAACGGGGTCCTGGCTTGAATGTTTCTCCTCTTGTTCAACCATTGGTTAACTGGGAGAGCCAGGTGGGCGAGTAGCCACTGGAAACTTCTAATTTTGACTTGGTTGATGTTTAGAAACCTAGTCCAGGAAAAAGCGAGGACTACATTGGGCTCATAATCGTTAGGCCATCTCCAGAAGGAAAGGTTTTATGAGATGGAATAAGGGAGGGTTTAAGGTAAGGGTTTTAGGGTCTTAAGCATCGGGTTTCAGGTCAGGGACTGTAGGTTCTAAGGAGTTGACAGACTGAATCAGATTAAGATAGCTGTCTCAGGTGGAGCATAACCGCCCAAGGCGGACGGGGTAAGGGTCGGACTGGACCAGACGTAACAAGGGGGAGGGCGTTAAATATATGCTGAGGAACTCTAGGGTAAAAGGGAATACAGGTAGGGGAACATAGTGAGGGGTAGGGAGCAGGGAAAGGGCTAGACCTTTTCTTGGTTTACGGACCCTATTTGGCAGATCTGCACAGCAGACCTGAGAGGGAAAGGTATAGCAAGGCAAGCTGACAGTCAATCCTCCATGCGAATGGAGTAATCAMTGCTGATCARGGRTCCTTCGGCCGTACGGAAGGAAGCGTGTGTTTGTAATCATGATGTATTATT